GAGGTTGGTGAATAATTATGCCCTGCGGAAGGAGTGCTAGGAGGTGAAGTTCCCGAGAGGCTACCAGAGGAATCATCATCATCATTCGGCCCTTGATTCACCTGAGTGGGCACAACATCAAACGACGGTAGACTAGACAAGAACTCAAGTGAGTTGTCTGCACGCGAACGATCATCAACTGGATAATGCATCACTTGCTCCAAGAAGACGACATGGCACGAGATACGCATCCGACGAGCAGCAGTATCATAGCATAAATATCCCTTATGCTGATCACTATATCCCATGAAGACACATCTGGCCGTTTTAGGATCAAGTTTACTCCTCTCCTTTTTGGGAAGTAGAACAAAACACACGCACCCGAATACCCGAAGAAAGGAATAGGATGGCTGCTTCTGATATAACATGTAATAAGGACAATGATTACCAATGGTTAATGAGGGCTGCCGATTGATTAAATACACCACGGTTTTAACTGCTTCAACCCAAAAACCGCGAGGTACACAAGAATGAAAGAGAAGTGCACGGGTCAACTCGAGAACATGACGATTTTTGCGCTCAACAATCCCATTTTGCTGTGAGACACCCGGGCATGATTGCTGAGACACGATTCCATGTGCCTTATAGAATTCCATCAGCTGATTCGTACTGAATTCTCCACCGGTATCAGATCTGATGATCTTCACTGTGGTCTTGAACTGAGTTTGAATCATGCTAATGAATTCCTTAGCACACTGGATAAGCTCAGACTTCTGCCGCAGGAAATATACCCATGTGTACCTGGTCGCATGATCTACAAACAGAGCAAAATATCGATAGCCCAAGCGAGAGGTAACTGGAGATGGTCCCCACAAATCTGTATGAACCAAATCAAAGGTCGATTCATAGATAGTAGTGCTAGAAGAAAAGGAGGACTGAGAAGCCTTAGCTACAATGCAGCTAACACAAGTAGAAGGAGACATTGAAACCGAAGAATTCATACGATCTGGCAATAAATTATTCTGAAACATACTGTATAAGCGAGCAGTATGCGGGTGTCCCAACCGACAGTGCCAAAGATCCCAAATCGATGCCTTAACAGAAAAATCCAACTGTTTAGCTGAACATCCTATAGACTCATGTCAAGAAACAGAAGAACTCAAATTGTTTCTAGCAGTCCTGCCTTGTGCCGAATCCTGCCACTTGACTTGGGGTCTCGACCGCAGCTCATCCGAAGCCCCTGACTGCTGGAGCTCATCCAACACAAAAATCCGACCTTGTTTACTTCCCGTCCCTATCACTTTCCCAGTCCTCCGATCCTGCACAACACACCCGTCGGAATTAAAAGTGACTTTACAACCCTCTTCAGCTAACTGCCCAACGGAGACAAGACTAGGCACTAACTTCGGGACATAAAGAGTATTAGGGAGTGTCACACCATGTGTAACAGCAGTACCAGAACCAGTAACAGGAATCTTAGCACCATTAGCCACTTGCAGAGTAAGAGGAGCAGCGGACTTGAGTACCGAGAAATGTCTGGGCGAGTTCGTCATATGATTAAAAGCTGCGGAATCAATGAGCCAACGAGAACAATTACCTGAGGCAGCTCAAGTGGCGAATGCAGAACTCAAAGCAGCAGGCAAGACATCCTGAAGAGCTTCCTGGACAAGCTTGCGAACAGCCTCGGATGATAAAGAATGCCCGCCACCAGCAGCCTTGTCAGAAGAATTATGCGGAGCCGGCGCTGGCTGAACAGCATAACCAGACCCGGACGAACGACCAGCAGCTCCCCCAGTGCGCTCACCACGACGCCCACGCCCTTTCTTTGCTGGGCAATCAGAAATTATGTGCCCCTTGGTCTTGCAATAGTTACAGAAGTTTCTCTTGGGACATAATGGCTGGATGTGACCCGGCTCATCACAAGAATGGCAACGAATCTCCCCAGAATGACCTTGTTGAAACTGCGGACGAGAAGATCCTGATTTGTGGACCGCAAAGGCTGAACCACCAGTATTATCCAGGCCAGCCTGACTGTTCAGGCGAGTTTCCTCGCGAACGAGTTCCGCTAAGGCAGCATCAATAGTGGCAATGTTGCGATGGAGGAGAGAAGCACGCACGGCTTCGAACTCAGGCCTCAATCGCATGAGAAAGTGCATGAAGCGTGATCGACTTCTCTCCTTTACCATTTCAGCCGAGAGAGCATTAGGAGTCAGAGATGCCAAGAGCAAATCATATTCGGTCCATAGCTGAAGAGCGTTCTTGTAATAGGTACGGATATCCTGATCACCCTGAGCAAGGGAGGCAAGCTGAGTTTCCAGCTCAAATTGACGGGAAGCGTCATACTGGGAGTGGATGGAACAAATATGGTTCCACATTTCATGCGCAGACGAGAAACGACGGAGACCCAACGCGGTGGCGATATCCACCGAACCCAGCAACAAGTTGGTGACCTGGCCGTTTGCAGCCGCCCAGTCATCACGATCTTTCATAGGGGCCTCATCTGCGGGCTTGGCATACTTGCCATTCAGAACAGGGAGTAAGCGCTTACCCTCAATGAGCGTTCGGAATTGAAACTCCCAAAGGGAGAAGTTTGTTCCGTCAAACTTAACCAAAGCCGCGTCAAGCCGAGAAGAATCCATGGAGTCGGCGGGAAAAAACAAAGCAGATGTGCAGATTGGATAATGAAGCACGAAAACCAGCACCCTCAAATGTAGCTGAGGAAAGAGCTAGAGGGAAGACGAGGAAAACCAGCACCCTCGCTGAGGAAAGAGCTAGAGGGAAGACAACAAACTCGGCGGCGATCACCAAAGAGCTGCGTGCAGCAACCCTAAAACCCGATGTAATCAATAACCTGGACCAAAAATATGATGATGAATCAACGAATCTCAATTGCGAGGCTCTGATACCATGTCAAAGAATCAAGAACATAAATCGAAAGAACACAAAGATTTTTTTAACGTGGTATCGTCAGTGTGACACTAGTCCACGAAGAGGATCTCCCTCTCAAATTTTAGGTTTTCTTATTTCGTTAAGTCTCCAGTACAGTTTACAGTCATATATAGGTTGTGAATACAACCCTTATTCCGAGAGGCCATTTACAAATAGGTACCTACAATTAACAAAACCAACCGGCTCAGGGGCTTTACCCCGTCACTGTCGTTAATTGCTTTCCAAATATCGTCTTCTGAGAAAGGGCTGATAAGAATGTGACTATCCGTGTCAACATTTTTGCTTCCACGTACACCTTGGGAAAGGTGCCATTGCTAATCGATTCTTGGAACATCCTTTTGTGATACTCAACAATTCCTTGTGCAACTTCCTCTCTTCCTTCGATCATTAGACTTTTGATTTTGATGCGCTCTATTAGATTTGTTTTTTTCCCTGTAATTTGCAGCTTTGTGAAAGAAGTGTGTGTTACTGTCTCCTAGTTTGAGCCAAAGTTCTTTCCATTTTAATTACAATGTATAATAAATAATTGTAAGGAGATGGAATTATAATTTAATTACAATGGAGACTAAAGAGAAGCTTCATCTATAAGATTCTTGTAGGAACTTGTGGGAAAAGTTACGGGTCGTTTGTTTCGTGGATTTAAAATATGAGGGCTTTTGGTAAAATCTGGGTTTCGAAAAACCATGGATATATGATGGATTTGGTGGCATCATGGATTTGAACAAGTCTATTGTTTGCTTGTTGGATTTGATAATGGATTTTGTTTGATTAGATTTGTGAATATGAAACACAAATTACCTTGTTACCCTTATGTAATTATATTTCCATTAAAAACAAATCTAATGCATACTGAACTACTACTTTGTGAACTCGTTCAATTACAAATATACAAATGCATAATAGTTTGGATATGACACAACTCTCTAATTTTTGGATCCAACTGTCGATCCAGCAATAATGCACAAGATGAGCATTAGAAATATCAATAAAGGAGTAAATATAAGACTCAGCAGTCGAAGATGTGAAATTCAACTACAATTGAAAATGTCCCGATTTTTTGGTCAAACTCGAGCACCACGCTTAATCCAAAATTTCATCCAGAAATTCACAATTTATGCGAGAAATTAATGTTAAACAATCCCAAAAAAAGAAAGAGACAAGGAGAAACAAACATGAGAGTCCCTTTATCATTCATTGCTCTATATGAAAAACTGAGGACGCAGAGTTGGAGGCCGCCACCGGGGAAGAAGGAATGGTAGATTAGTCATTAGGTAAAATAAGTATGGATAAACTAGTAAAATGTCATCATGGATTTAAATCCATCACCCAATTTCCACCTCTATAGGTGGAACTTCCAAGTCCGTGGGGAAAAATTATGATAGCTGAGCAGAATGGGTTTGGTTCAATTTTGAGTAACCATGATAGCTATCGTAATTTACACGGTTCATTTTCTTATTTTCCTTATTTTTCAAATTATGATTAAAATTTCTCTAAAGAAAATTTTGAAAATAAAAATAAAAACATATCTTATTATTATCTTTTAAACTCTACATATCTCACCGCATCTCTCCCTACCCGGGACAGGTTACGGTGATTACTATAAAATAGTAATCACCGAGGTTACTAAGGGCAAATTGGGTATAACAAAAAATTTATTAATGATCTTTTTTAATAAATTACATTTTAGGAAATTACATAAATATATTAAATACAATTTTTCTCTCTCTCTCACTTCCACAAATTTTCAACCAGATCTCTCTTCCTTCTTTTTCTTAATCTTTCCTTGATTTCGTTGCTGCAACAACAACACAATAAATCAATACCAATCCATTAAAAAAATACTACCATTGTACAAAACATCAATACCATTCAAGAAATAAAAACACTACCGTTTCAGAAAACATCAATACCATTGCAGATTTAATCACTACCAATGCGATAAAATCAATACCAATGTAACAAAATCAATACCAATGCGACAAAATCAATACCAATGCGACAAAAATAATACCAATGCGACTAAAACACTACCACTACGGGGGAAAATGACTACCATTTAAAAAAAAAAATCACTACGGAAAAAAATGACTACCATTGAGGTAAGCCTTCACCTCCGGTATACCAGAACCGGCGGCAGCCGGAGCTATGAATGCCGTGATGAGGGTTGCAAACAGAGTCAATACCAAGTTAGATGCAGAGAACACGAAAAATGCCATCTTAAACCTGCCATGCCAACCATTTCCATCCTAATTCAGCGAGGAAAGAAAAGTAAAAGCTTTGGAACTTTAGCTCGACAAAAAAAAACTGCTAATCTCCAACCTCCCGGCGAGCATCATGTTGGAAGTGACCACGAACTTCAATCCAGCAATGTTCTCGACGGCCAAGTTATTGAAGAACCCAATTAGGCTAACAATCAACCCAACAAGAAAACAGAGCGACCACTTCATGAACAAGTACTGGAACATCTGCTTCTTCCCGCGAGACCTCCAGTCCTGCTTGAACACGTCATTCTCCGCGATTCTGCGCCAAACCCCGTATAAATTAACTCAAACCCAAACGGGGAAAAGAAAAAGAACCAGACTTTCGAACTGGGGAATCTCACTCGTAGTCGAGGCTTTCGATCGGGCAGACATTGGCGCCGAAGAGGGCAACCTGAGAGGTGGAATTGTCGAGGAGGGTGAGAGCTTGCGGCTACGGCGGGTTTGGCTGTAGAAGTAGGGTTAGGGTAGAATATATAGAATAATCAAGTGGGGTCCATTTTTTCCTTCCAAAATTATCCTGATACAATCTTAACCGTAAGATTAAAAAAAAAGGAAAGAGAAGAAAATAAATGGTGGATACTGATGTAGCCACGGTAGCTACTAGAAATTCAGTTTCCACCCTAACGCATTCCCTCCCTACCCGCCTTCCTCCTTCCTTTCTCTCTCACAAGAGAAGCTGGCAAGACAGTGCCCTCTCTCATTTGAGTCTTGTAAAGTAATGATATAGATTGTTTATATTGGTAGTTTAGTGTAATGCTATTGTTTTTCATAATGATATTGATTTTTTTCCTGCAACGATATTGATATTTTTCAAAGCGGTAGTGGTTTTCTAATAAATTGGTATTGATGTCTTGTTTTATTTTTGCATCAGTATTATTTTCCCATGGAATACAATGGTATTATTTTGACTAAACAAGGCAAGAAAAAAACTTAGAAAAAGAAGGAATATAGATTTGGCTGGAGATCGCATGTGAAAAAAAGATAGAGAAAATTGTAATTAATATGTTGGTGTAACTTACTTAAATATAATTTATTTAAAAAATAAATTAATTAATTTTTTTTTCATATCCAATTTGTCTTACTAAAGTAAAGTAAGTAGATGGGGCTAAAAGTCGTTAGCACCCACGCATTAATTATCACAATAAATAAAGACCCATGAAATTAACGTTTACCAGAAAGAGTGAAAGACCATTGTAATAAGCATTATAATTATCAATGGCAAACAGCATACCTAAATATCACAATATAAAGACTGATAATGTATTCCAACGAACATTCAAATATATTCCGAATATACTAAATGTATATTTAGGGTAATATCCGAATTTTTCATTTTCAGAGAAGATCATTCCAAACATATTAAATTCAGAAGACGAAAAGGAAGAATATTTTAAGAAATCAAGCACATCGGGGAATATAACGTCTGCCTTGCTAGATCAGGTTCTGGGGATGAATTACCTGAAGATTCGATATCGATGGATACGTATGGTGGAGGGCAGAGGATACAGGCCGCGTCCAGTAGTATCGTCTGACCAACAATGACCGGAAAGAGGGTGGAGCGGAGGAAGATCTCCATGGGATGTAGGAGACAAGTGATAGAGGTAGAGAGAACGAGGCGGCAGTGCAGAGACGGACGGCGGAGCGGAGGAAGATCAATGATCTACATGAGATGGAGATAAACAGGGGGTAGAGAGACAGAGAGGGTGAAGGGATGTAGTGAATCAGCGAATTCTAAAACTTATTGTCAGTCGCTCAAGATTCGAATTTTGGTTTCAAATTTCAAATTTTGGATTTGGTTCAAATTTCAGGAATTAGGGATTGAAATTAGAAATTCTAAAAAGAATTTTTCAGTTTCAAAACTTTGGAGACCATAGACATTTGGATCTCCCTCTTTCTTTGGCGCGTGGGGAGACAAATCAGACACATATATGGTACAGTCGTTCGTCATTCGGTCCCACAGTCCACTAACTAAAGCAATCAACGGATCTGGGACGTCCGTTGCGTGTGCAGCAGATCTGGGCCGTTGGCTGATTCATTCTCGAAAAAGTCAAGTGGTGGACGATAACCGAGCTCCTCACCCACCACCATACGTCACCATCGCTGCCCTTCTCCATTCTCCCCTCCCCCCTCTCTCTCTGCCGCTCCCACGCCCTCCCCTCCTCCCCTCTCACTCTCTTTTTGGGAGAATGCCGAGAAGGAGAGATCAGATGCATAAAAAATGTAGATATGATTTTTTTTTACTTGTTCATTGTTTTATTTTATGAAATAGTATATTTTTCTTTTTCGTCAGTATTGATTTATTTTTGTAATTATAATATTTTGATTTCACCATAATAGTGTTATTGGTTGATTTTTGTATTCGTTTGAGTTTTGTAATGATATAGATTGTTTATATTGATAGTTTTAGAGTAATGCTATTGTTTTTTATAATGGTATTGATTTTTTCGAAGCAATAGTGGTTGTCTATTAGATTGGTATTGATGTCTTACTTTATTTTTGCATTAGTATTATTTTTCCATGGAATACAGTGGTATTATTTTGACGGAACAAGGCAAGAAAAAATTGAGAAAAAGAACGAATTTAGATTTGACTGGAGATTGCAGAAATGTGAAAACATATAGAGAAAATTGTAATTAATATGTTATTAGAACTTACTCAAATATAATTTATTTAATAAATAAATTAATAAATATTTTTTTCTTATCCAATTTGTCTTACTAAAGTAAAGTAAGTAGATGGGGCTAAAAGTCGTTAGCACCTCATACACGCATCAATTATTACAATAAATAAAGACCCATTAAATTAACGTTTACCAGAAAGACCTTTTTAATAAGCATTATAATTATCAACGTCCACCAATATGGTGCCCCGACCCCGTCACTCGGCCGTCGACCTTGCATATTTATTTATATCTTCTTCTCTCCCTACCATTAGCATCTAAGCAATCAAGCCCAACGCCAGTCAATCAAATCAAGCACCCAAAAAATGACTAAGGAAACTTACGGAATAGAATACACTCTGTCGTCGTCGGCCGACGATGTCTGGGGAGCCATCTTCGCGGCGACGTCAATCTATCCCAAGTTCCTCCCTGACCTCTACGAGGTAATCAGATCCACCAGGCGCGACGGCTACAGCCAAGGCTCCATCCGCGAGATCACTTATGGCCCAGGTAACTCTTTCTAAAACGTCAAGTATCATCTGGTCACAATAACTCGAGTTGTTGGTAAATGGTTTGCTATGCCTTTTTTTATCTCTTACACATTCGTTGATTATATTATGTAGATTTCAAGCTGGTGACGACGGCGCGCGAGGAGCTGACAAAGGTAGATCACGGCCAGATGACGGTGTGCTGCACCGTCGTGAGCGGTGAGTTCGTGAGCAAACACTACCGGACGTTCAAGACCGTCACGGCGGTGAAGCCGCGGGAAGGTCAAGAGGCGGGGGAACCGGGGTGTGCTGTGACTTGGAGCTGTACCCACACCGGGGAAGCAGGCTCCATGAGCAAGGAGGCCGTTATCAAACTTGTGAAGAAGACCTTGGATGGCTTGGACTCCCATCTCCAGAGGCTGAGGGAGTAAGTCGCAAAGCTATAGTATCATGCTGAATTGCTGATGACGAACTACTTGTATTATCTTTTCTTTATAAATCATGGATCGGCCTCCGGTCTTTGTCATACCCCAACTACTGCGCAATTGTACTCATTCACCTTCCCATTTACTTTCATTTATGTTTTCTGTTTTTTAGAAAACATATGTTGAAAACAGATGAAAACAACATTTTGTCGTTTCCGAAAACAGCAGGAAGTTGTCACTTTCTGTTTTCATAGTTGGAAATGAATAGAAAACAGAATGAAAAGTAAACAAGTTTTCTCGTTTCGGTTGCCAAATTTATGACATAAAAACAGAAAACAGGAAACGAAAATGAAATTGAACACATTTTCAGGTATCGTTTAATAAGATTATTCAGATGAGTGGTTAGTTTGTTTCTGTGGCGGTGGATGATGGTGTTGGGTTGGTCCAGCTTTCTATGGTGGTTGGATGAACTGGTTTTTTAGAGGTTATGGTAATTAAGTTGGGTTATCTTGAATTTATTGGAAGAGTTCAAAAGTCATTTTCTTGAAAATCCTGTATAATTATAATAGATAGCAGTTACAGACGTTCTGGAAGAATAGATAAGAGAAAAACTGAAAGGTTGCAGACTTTTTCATTTCTACAGCAGGACACCCTGTTCAAGAGGGTGTTACGAGCTAGAGAACTAATTAAGCGTTGTGTCATCCTGAAATTTAATTAATGGATCGTCGTTATGATCTTTCGTTCATCAGTAACTACTGCTAAACAGAGAGTGTACGAATTTGTTTTTTTTTATACTTCTGAAACATCTCTTCTTGTTATCAACTGTGTTGGTGATCCAAGAAATTTTTTCTTGAGGTGTTTTGTAATCCTCTTTCGAGCCTAGAGAGTACTTGTAATCTCATCAAAGTATAGTGCAGTTGGGGATAGGACTACGGTCCCAGCAGTGGTATTATAACCTAATGTTGTTTGGGAGCGGTTTTGGGTGAATGGCAAGAATAGACGACTTAAACGGAAATGATCAAGTTGACATCACCAACTACTCGATTTGAAAGCCACAAATGAAGGAAATATAGTTTGCAATCTCTATTAACCTACTGAAAGTGGTAGCAAGAAGCCAGACGATAAGTAGGTTAAGCAGTCGGAGATCTTACATAGAAATGTGGCGGGGAACACTAGACAATGCGGCGGCAAACCACAATAGTATGCATAACCAGATCTGAACCATTAGTTTTAAGTAAGACCAAGTCTCTAAGAAATTTTTATTTTTCCCACTTTTCTTAATCAACTTTTATATTCATCATTCTAATATGGATTTCAAAATTTTTTATATAGATGAAACGAAGTAAGGCAATATATGGAAGCTTCTTTGGACTTGGATTCTCAATGGCGGCTCCATCTTTTTTTCTTATGGGACTAGGTGCCTTGTGGGCCAAGAAACTTCTCTGTGAAATTTGGGCTTGACTTGATCAAGTTGGGCCGGCGGCAGTTGGACCTGTCTTGAGGTACCCGCCTATTCATTCTTTGGATTGGGTTGTATTTCCTCCACTAGAACTTTCATGGGCTCCGATTAAGACTTCTAGTAGGCTTCCTCTCCATTGGGCTACGTCTAATAGGTAAAAAACTCAGTAGTCTTCTCCAATTGATCCTCCAGAATTGTTCAAGTATGGATCCAAATTATCCTAGATTGTACTAGCTTTTTACCCGCCCGTTGGGCAGTATTATTTTTATTGTTCTTTTTATTGTTGTGTTCTAATTTTTTAGAGTTCATGTAAACTATACTATCATATATGGAATCGTTAAGTTTACTTATCTGATTTTAGCTGTTATTGTG